TCCCACTGGGTGGCATCTGCTGGAGCCCCAGCCCCTTTGGTGATGCAGACATCACAAGGCGTGCAGATGACTCTAAATTTTTAATAACTCCCTTGGGAGCCCTTCTCCCCAGTGGGCCAATCCCCATCGACCTGGGCCCCAGTGGGCCCAGAACAACCCAACAACAAACACAACTTCGCACAGGGAGGTGCCCCAGCGTGTCTCGAACCTTCCCCCGCCGGGCGCTTCTGCAGTCCACACACGCTCACCCCTCACTCCCTTCTCTTCTTCTTCGCCCCATACTCACCCCTCCCTCCAGAGTCTCCATGGAGGCTCTCACACCCCACTGGGGCGCCTCTGCACCCCTCAGGCAGCACCGAGGCCCTGCGCCGGCGGGGGCGTGGCGGGCACTGCCAGCCCGGCCCACAGCGCCCCTTGCTTCCCACTGATCCTCCGGTGCTAATCAAACCCAGTCCAGAACGAAACTACAGCTTGCTTCTTGTTCTGGTATGAAATGTGCAAAGCACAGACCATATCATTAACATAAAACTTCCAGAAATAAGGCCACTTTCCAGACAGACTGTATTAATTGCACCAAGCTTGCACAGCCGGGGTGGTCTAATCCATGGCGTCCCATTGGACGGCACCGGTTATAAAACCCGACACAAAACGAACACTGGGATGGATATAACTGAAGGAGGAGAAAACGACAGATTCGACGGTTAAACCCTACTATTTACTTACAGGTATTCTTTTCCCTTTATGGTCCCCTTAACCCAAGCCAAGAAACCCCAGACCAGTTAAATAACATGGCAAACACGCTTTCCATAGAAAAGCACATTGAACTTCACCTTACAGGATGGCCCTGTGATTGCAGCAGGTACTAATGATGGCAACTGACTCCTCCTATTAAATCCAAACACTCCCACTTCCCCGAGCTCAGGCAGATCCTGTGTGTTCTTGCGGGAGACCTTGAACTTCACCGAGCTCATGTATTAATCAATGGGGCTGATGACTATTTGCAGCTTTTAAACACGCAGGCACGCCTCTCTATTTCTCTTCTCCCCCCTGATGCTGATGCAGGATCAAAGCCGGCCAAGAGGTTAAATGCCTTTTGGAACGGAAACTCGGCATCCAGCTTGAAGTAAGAGTCCACACAGGGCCAGACATGGACCTTGTGAAGCTGTGGGACCCGTGCTACTCCCGCACGAATCACGACGTCTACAGGGCTCAGCGCCGGGCACCGGACCACGTTCGATCACCATCCCCCAAAGCATCAACCCAGGTTACAGGTGGGGACACTGAGGAAGAGGGAGGAAAATGACTTGTCCAAGGCCACACAGTTTCAGAGGACAGAGCACCCTTCACCTCAGAGGCTGCTGTACACGGATGTCAGCCTCTGAATCGCAGAAGCCTCAGAACGGAGACAGGTTCAGGCCAAAGCCCAGCGGTTTTCTAGCTCTGCTCGGCACACCCACCCCTGCCCTGGGGACCGGAGCCAAGCCCCGCACCCGGCCTGCCACAGGGACTCCGTCCTCCCAACAGGCCAGTGCGCTCCCCTTCAGGGGTCAATACGAGGAGCCTCGTTTTTAAGGACACAGATATCACACACATGCGTGTTACACATGTATGTGTCATTTTCATATATATCACAGATCTAGGTGTGTGTGTGTGTATTATATGTATTTTCATAGAAGGGGAAGCTGAGGACCAGAGAGGAGGAAATGACTTGTTCAAGGTCACCAGCCAGACAGAGTAAGGGCCAGGACCACAGTCCAAACCCCTTGACGCCGCAGGCAGCCTGGGGAAGCCCCTGCGTGGAGTGTCTCAGCCTGGGCTCCGGCGCCCGTTATTTAGCAGACGCAAAGCGCAACAGGTGCACAGGACTCAGAGAAGTGCCCCCTCCCACCGTGACTGTCCGCGGAAGGTCAGGGTTGGGGCTCTGGGAGGCGGGGCTGTTTGGGGTGCCGCTGGACGGAGGGGTACACAGCAGCACATCTACCTGTGTGGTCTCCGCCCCCACAAATTCACACCCTTCTATAAATAACCATCACTGTGTTCCCGGGCATGCAGTTAACCCGAGCCAAACGCAGAGACACGGGGTTTTCCGTATTAATCTGAATAGACAGGTGCAGTGCGTCCCGACCCAGAAAGGAACAAGACGAAGCCAGAGCAGCGGCCCCTTCCCAGCTGTACACAGGCCTGCTTCCTCCTCGCCGGTTCCTGGGGACGCAAGGGCTCCACTCCAGCTACTAATTAAACAGGCGCTAAGAGCACTTAAGCGGAGAGCCCAGTGCCAGGGACAGAAGCTACCAAGGGACCAAAACCACTGGAATAGGACGTTTTTGGTACTAAAACTGATCAGAAGATACAGAGGTACAGCCTGATGCAGGCTGACGAATGGGGACCCCGCGATGAGGGGACAGTGCTGGGGATTGGTGTGCCATGCCAGAGGCTGAGAGCTGGGTCAGAACAAGAGGCCCCATGGACCTCAGGCACGACACCACACTGCCACCAAGTGCGGGGATTGCTCGCGGGCTCTGAGCCCTGTGGAATCAAGTTATAAAGCCCAGAAAGGCCACCAAGCCTGAAGAGCCAATGTCTAAGATGAACTAGGTGCTGGATGAGTGGCCCAGGACCAAATCCCGCCTCTGCTCCTCCAGCCCCTTCAAAGGGTCCTCCTTACAGGTGTGCACGTCCCCCTCCCGAATCCTCCCTCCACCGCCAGGCTGCAGGGGGGCAGGGGCCCATGTGCCCAACTCTGCCTTAGTTGTAGTGTCTGCAAACTAGGTGCCCAGGAAGTGGCTTTTTGAGGGAGAATGGATGAGTGAGCAAATAAGTGAGTGAGTAAATGAGTGAGTGAATGAGTTAATGAATGAACGAGTGAGTGAATGAATAAGTAAATGAGTGAATGAATGAGTGAGTGAGTGAGTAAATGAGTGAGTGAATGAGTGAATAATGAGTGAACGAGTGAGTGAATGAATAAGTAAATGAGTGAATGAATGAGTGAGTGAGTAAATGAGTGAGTGAATGAGTTAGTGAGTGAATGAGTGAGTGAATGAGTGAGTGAATGAATAAGTAAATGAGTGAGTGAATGAGTTAATGAGTGAGTGAACGAGTGAATGAGTGAGTGAGTTAATGAGTGAGTGAATGAATGAGTGAGTAAGTGTATGAATGAATGGAGTTCTGAGACCTCAAAGTCTCTGAGCCTCATTCTCTCATCTGTAAAGTGGGGAGTGAACTACCTCCTAAAATGGCCACGAGGAAGAAATTCAAGAAGGCACACAAAATGCCGAGCGCAGGCAGTGCACAGTAGGCCCTCAATACACAGTCCCTAAGAGGAAGTGGGTAGCACTGTGGCTGAGCGAGTGTGTGAGGCACGTCCCCTGGACAGAGGCTGAGGCACATGGCCCAGTGGGAGGGGTGGCCCTGTCAGGAGGCATCCTGATGAGAAATTCCAGGTCCCCAACCTTGGTCCAGCCACTTACCCTGCCCACGCCTTGACATCCCCATCTGTACCATGAGGACGGAACGGCCCCTGTACAGCACAGTGGCTTCTAGGCAGAGCCAGCGCCAGCAGAGAGTTAAGCCGCTCCCTGCACGCCAGGGGGATCGTGTTTCTGTACCGCAGAACTTGACCGAGTCCAGTCATAAACACTTGGGCTGATCTGTGAGAGCTCGTCCCTCCTCGTGGGGCTGCAGCACTAATTACAGGAAAGCCAGAGAACAGGGCAGCCACCCAGACAGGGCAGCCCCCGGCGCCCCGCAAGCAGGGATCACGGCACAGACCCGTGGAGCCTGGACAGGCGCCCCTGGCACCCGGAACCCCGGGCCAGCCTGCTTCTTTGCAACTCCCACCCTGCCCAGGTGATTTCATCTTTGCTTTGTTGCAGGCAGAGCTAAGCCCGGAACCTGTGACGTCGCCATCTGTCACAGGAGGGTGCCGAAGGCTGCAGGCCGCCTCCAGAGCAGCAAGGCCCTGCGAGCTCTTGGCCCTGGAGCTGGGACTGCCTGTGGCCCTTTGCAGAGCTGTGGCTCCAAAGGGCCCCTCCCTCCCTTGGGAGAGCTACACCTACAAGCAAACCCTGTGCCATAAAAAAGCATTTTCCTTTCACCACCCAAGTCAAAAGAAGTCCTGCAGGGTGCCCTCACTCTGCACCCACCCTCTCCTCACGAGGCCCCTGCCTGGCAACCAGACCACATGTGCTCGCCACCACCCGGGGCGTGTCAGCACCCGGACCTCAGGGGGCCTTGATGTGCTTCACACCAGGCAGGCCATGCTGAGAACCTGGGCCAGAGAGGCCAGAGGGGAGGCCCAGGGGCTCCGGGCTGGATCAGGAGTTTGGGTTCTATTTGGGGACAGAATGGGGGGAGGATGTAATTGATGGTGGACAGGTTGAGTCACCTCACTGCCCCTGCGTGCCCATCTGTAAAATGGGCAGCCACACCAACCAGCGGCCAGGCACACGGTGGGTGCTCAGCCCCTCGGGGAAACACGTGGCCCTGCCCTGAGCCCCCAACACACCCCATATGGGCTCACGACCCCCCGAAAGGCTCCTTTAGAGTAACTTTGTTTCCTCAGTTAATGGGCAACACATTCTCACAAAGAAGAAACCCCGCGTACCGGACGGCTCAGCAATGTACACAGACAACCACGGAACCTTCTGGCCGTGTCTGGTCGGGGGGCAGGGGTTGGGGCTGGGGAGCGGGTGGCAGAAGAAAACCTCAGATGTTAAGCGTTATCCAATTAAGCTTTAGCTAAACAGCCCAAAGAGATGGAATCTGGAGGATGGGGGGGTGCTCCTCCTGGGAGACTTTCAGAATGGATGGAGGCGTGGGGGTACCTCCCAACCCGTGGGGACCAGGACACTGGTACGCAGTTCTGTTGGCATCCTTCACCACGTTCCCTGGTGCCCCCCCACCAGAAACGCCTTTTGGGGCAGGGGCTGCACGGCCCCCCCGGAGTCCCCGCTTTTGCCCCACCCCCCCGGGAGCCCGCCCCCCACCGCGGCGTCTGTTACCTGACAACTGACACTGACATCCAAAAGGAGCCTCCGCGTGCCCCTCACCCTGAGTCCCGTCGCCCGAGACGGGGCGCCCACTGCAGCAGGGCAGGGGGAAGCAGGGCGGCAGAGCGCCCAGGGCGCGCAGAGGTGAGGTGATCACGGATGAGTGAGGGTGGGAGGAGGAGGCAGCTATGGGGGCCATCGCTGGCAGCTGGGCAGGCCTGCACGGCCCTGGAGAAAAAACAATAGAAAAGTCTGGTCAGTCGGGCCCTGCAGGGTACTCGGGGCTCGGGGCGTGGCACGGGGGCCCGGGGCGAAGGGCTGCGGGCCGCCCTGCTGGGGTGCCAGCCCCCATGGGGGAGACCCCCGGGGCACAGGCCGGGGCCTGAGGGATGCCACTTCCACAGCTGCCAGGTTGGGCTGTCTTGGGGCCGGACTCCCATCCCTGGGGGCCTACTGCAGGGAGTGGTCAGGGGGCCCACTCCCAGGTAGGGACCCCCCAACATGAGGGCTTCTGAAGGGCTGTAGAGCAGGCTCCATTTGGGCATCTGTTCCCAAAAATCTGGGCCACCCCCCTCTGGGAAACTCCTGGCCACCACTGTTTGCTCTATCGGGACGGTTAACCTCCAGCCTGGTGAAGGGCCGGCTGGTGCCTCTCTCCTGCCCATGGTCCTCCTCATCAACCCAGGCCTAGAGGCCTTTCAGGAGGTTTTGAACGCCCCCCAAGAACCCTCTAGCTCTGCTCGGCACCCCTCCTCCTGACTCCCCAGTCTGACGGCCACGACGCAGGGCTGGGGGCCCGCCTCGCCTCGGCTCCCCGGCACAGCCTGCATTTGATTTGACCGTTTATCTTAAATGGCTAAGAGACCACCAGGGCAAAACATTTGTGTGAAGCCCTTGCCAAAACCACAAGTGAAGAAGCCCAAATTCCCTGGGTAAATAATTGAGCAGGGAAGCATCAGAGAGACAAAAAGAAAACATCAACAAGACGACAGGCAGCTGGGCCCTGGGCCGGCGCTGCCAGGGAAGCTGCTCAGCGCCCCACGCACATGCCGCCTGTAGGGGGGCGGGGAACCCGCCCGACCCACGGCCCCACGTGGGGGCCCCCATCCAGAAGGGCCACTGCGAACCCACTGCGGGCCAGGAGTCACATGTTCGCCTGGAGTGAGTTTCCCACTGTGCCGCGGGGCGGGGCTCACGACGCCCCTGGCCCAGACCAGGAAACTGGCCACGTGGCTGCAGCAGGCTGCACACACCAGCAGGCAGCCCCGCAATCCCTGGCTGCCTGGCCTCAGAACCGGGGCTCTTTCTCGGTTACCCAGGACTAGGGGCGTCGGGACGTTTGAGAAGACCTGTAAGTGTCCTCCCAGGGGAACGAAGCTGACCCCACTCACATGGGCCCTTCTGGGCCCAGGACGACCTCCTACTAGGCTAAGCCCAGGGCCCGAGATGTTTCTGAACCGAAGGCCCAGGAAGGATGTGGCCAAGGACCCCATAGGCAGGTCCCGCCACAGATGCTGAGCAAAAAGCAATGCCCCAGATGGAAGGAAGGCCCCAGAGAAAGGTCAGCACTTGAGGCCAGTGTCACCTGTCTCCTTCTGGAAGTTTGCCCTGGCCAGTTCCCACCTGTAACCCCCTGGTCACTGCTCGTTTGACCCTGTCCACTATGTAGCCCTCGCTTACAGACCATGGGAGACTCTGGATCATCGCTAACTGTGCTGAACGCCTGTTGTAACTGCCCCGCTCCGCACCGCAGATCATCCCCGTTCCACAGTGGGGAGGCTGAGGCTCAGGGAGGTGGAACTTGAACCCAGTTGTGTCTCCAAAGCCTGCATGTGCGTGCTTCCCACCTGAAGCTGCAGCCAGGTGGAGTGACAAGAGTGCCCCAGGAACCTGACAGGGAGGGCCGTGGGTGATTGAGGGGGGCCTGAGGGCTCAGTCAAGCCATCAGAGGTTGCAAAAAAGCAAATCCAAGTGGGCTCCCCGATTCTGGGTAAGGCCACAACCCAGCCACCAGCAGGTACCAGGGCTGAGAAAACCAAAAGTTGCTCCTCCCTGGGCCTGGTGACATTGCCCAAGCTGGAAGAGAGCAGAACCTGTGTCTCCATGGTCTGAAGGAAGAGCCACAGGGCAAGTCCAGCAGCGCCGCCTACTTCTGGAAAGGCTGGGCTCAGGCCAGAGTCAGTGGAGACAGAGTCATCCCCCACTCAGGGAGGGGTGGGGGCTGGGCTGCCCCTGGAGGGGCTTCCACACCTTATTAGGAATTCTCACCTTGCTTAAGTCTACCTTCTCCAGGGGCCGGCTCAGCGGAGGCAGGGAGGGGCCAGCAAGATCAAGGGGCTTCCAATCCTGAACTGCCTGCAGAGGACCCTTGGGGGTGGGTGACCAGAGGGCCCGCTGCTCTGGGGCAGGTTCTGGGCTGGAGCAATTTCAGAACCTTCTGGAACTCCAGAAGTCCTCTTCTGAAGCCAGTACCCAGGTCCAAGGCACTGAATTTAAAAGAAGCCACCTATTGTATGACTGCATGTGTAGGAAGAGTCCAGAGCAGGCCAGTCCACAGAGACGGATGGACACAGAGGAAGGGCGGGGCGGGTGGGGCTGGCGGGCAGTGAGAGGGCTCCTGGGCAGGGGGTCTCTTCTGCAGTGACAAGGCTCTGGCATTAGACAGCAGCGGTGACTGCCCAACACTGAGCATGTGCTCAAAACCACTGACGGGACAACATAAAATGGATAAAGTGGTGAACTGTACGTTAGGTGAATCTTATCTAGATGTCTTTTAAAGGTCAAGGTGAGGACTGCCCCTGGCCTCAGTGCCTGTCCCAGGCCACCTCCCAGCCCCTGCTCCTCCTCAAGGGAGGGGTGTCAGCCTTGCGGAGAGCAGCCAGGGAACCCAGAACACCTGGCAGGGCGCCTGAGGCCCCGTGGGGAGAGACTGACAGGCACGGGGGAAGCTGGGGGCTCAGATGCAGCCTTGGAGCCAGAGGCCTGGGTTTGAATTTCTCCTCTGCCATTTCCTGGCCCCGTGACCCAGTCTGAGTCACCTGCTCAGAGCCTTGCTGTTAAAGGGAGGTCAGGACATGCCTGGCCAGAGCCACGCTTCTAGTAAACACTCAATACATGATTCATGTATTCTCCATTCTAGAACTTTCCCTACCCCCCACCCCCCACCCCACGGAAAGGCACCCTATGAAGCAGTCATACCCTGCAGGTCATTCCTACAAAAAACACTTTCTCTGGGCAGGTTCCGCTCTGAAACTGGAGCAGACGCACGAGCGTGGCGGTATGTGGTCGAGGGGCCGCAAGACGCCATTCCAGCCTTAGGGGGATCCAGGTGTCTTAAGAGTAAACCCCTGGGGCTGGCCGGATTCCTTGCCATGGAAGTTCACTTTCATTAGGAAGAAAGAAATAAACAATGAATACATATATCGCCTGGTTTAAGCCCCACAGCCCCCCTAGGAGGGGTCGGTAATACGACCCCCCCCCACAAATAAGGAAACTGAGGCTGGATGTCCAGCACCATGCTGCTCTTAGGGTCAGAATCTCCCCCTGAGCAGCCCACACAGGGAGGTGCAAAAAAGTCCAAGCATCAGGCCCCCGAGAACATTTCCTAACCTCTGGATGAAGGTGTAAGGTCACTTTCACTGCATCCATTCCAAGGGGGTCTGTACCCCGTTTCCCTTCCAGAGGGCCCTGCAGATGGTCGGGCTCGGCTCCTCACACATGCGCACTTCCCCAGCGAACACGCCCACACCCCCGGCGGGTAGACACAAAAACTCGCCTGGCGGAGCCCCAGCCTGGGTTTCAGAGGATGGGATTCTTCCCAGCGCGGACTCCTCGGGCGTCCCCTCCCACGTGGGAGGGTTACAGTCTCCCGACCAGGAAAGCAGTGCTGGAATACTCCGTGCAGATGTATATTTTTCTCCCTACCAGTGCCTTTCAATGGATACATTTTTTTTAAAGCCAAGAACTCCTACTGATAGTGCAAAAATGAGTCATAGATCCAGAAGGGCGACAGACACACAGGGAGCCAGCGCCTGTGAGTGAGGCCACTGGCAAGAAAACCTGACGATCCCGTCGCCCCCCTCCCCCATGCCAAGACATTAATTCTCACAAGTCGGAGAAAATTACTATGCATGAATGCAAAAAGCATGATCAGGAGTAATTAACATGGCTTCATATGCAAATTTTATTAATGCAGAAGTACAAAGTCATTATGCAAATGAAACTTACGTCAACTCTCTTGACAAATATTCATCGCCGAGGCTCAAGTTTCTCCCTCTTTATTTATTTATTTAATTTTTCCTCCCCCTCCCCGACTTTTCCCTGCATCTTTATGTTTTTTTAGGGGTGCAGGTTGTGCTGGTGGTCGCTCTGGCAGCAGCAAGCCACAAGGTCTGTTTGACAAGTTTGCAAAGTTGTTTTTCAACCAGAGAAATTTATTCTTGCATTGTTGATTTTTTTTTTTTTTGGTTGTTGGCAGGTACAAGACAGCTCATAGGAGAAGGGGAAAAATAAAAAAATAAAAAGCTCTGGGCAGCCAGCAGCCAATCAAAACGCCAGAGCCTGTAATGAGGGCGATTGATGGCTGTTTGGCTTTTACTGCAGGGTAATGAGGAGGGGGAAAATATGAATATTCATGAGACTGTGCTCCTGCCTTTGATGATTAAAGAAATTTTTAATATTCAAATAAGCGCTTGCCAAGTGATTAACAAAGAACATGCACGCAGAAATATGGAAATGGGAGCCGAGAAAGGTTTGAGAGTCGAACAGACTGCAGGAAAGGCAGCCCCGAATTTCATAAACAGGATAGGCAGATAACCCAATTCGCACGTGGGCAAATAAAAACATTTCTTTCAGATCGCTTAAATATTTTGCCAGCTACTTGGTCTTAAGGATGATGAAAATGCTCTGTGTTAAGGGGCTAGGGGCGGAGAGAGAGAGAGATCACAGGAAGTCAAAGGCATCGCTCACATTTAAGGATCATTATCCTGATTCCAGCCCACCCCCCAACCCCCACCCCCGACCTAACGGGAAATCGGGGCTCTTTTTCCGGTTTGCTAGAGAGAAAAGAGGGAAGGAAGCCAGCTCTGGCTTAAAAACCCAAGGCCGGTGGGTCATTTCGTTGCTTCTGGGTGGTGGGGGAATGGAGGGCAGTGACCCCTCAAGGGGGAGGGGTGTGATTTTGGGGACCCCAATCTGGAGAGCTCAGTGCCTCCTCTGGGCTAGAGCCC